CCACAGTCACAAGCACTCTTCGTTCGACAGTGGTTGAAGCAGCAGCAGCGGAGGCACATGTTCCATTGCTTCTTTCCTTCTTTACCTTCTGCTGCATCTTCTTCTTCTACTTCTGTTGCTTCAAATTTAGCTTCTTCCACTTTCTACTCCCTTCCCTTTCCTTCAATATTACCTCTTGGTCTCCTCTCATCACCTCCGATGTCCGGTCTGATCAGTGTGTGATCGTTTTTGGTAAAAAGGTCTTCCCGATGTGTGTTTGAGTGTCAGTGTGTTTCAGTCATCTTGCTGCTCTCTGCCACTGTTCTCCCACTGCCAACAACACTTCGATGCTGCCCGATAGCTAGTGTTTACTTCTTCATCTTCATCTGCTGCCTGCCTCAACTCAGCTCACCTCGTCTCTTAAACTTCCACCACCACCACCACCACTCATTGATTTGTTGACAAATGCCTGCCAAGTTGGACAACGTTGACCACTGCCATCATCAACAAAATCAGCTCCAGCAGGAACGCCGGCGGATAGGAGGACTACTGTCAATATTAGGAACAACAACAAATGTGAACAAAATGTGCCACACTGCAACGACTCAGAGGACCGCCACTTCAGTGGTGGCGGTGGTGGAGGAGTTGCAGCAAAGACTGCCACAGCAACCTAACAGAAAGGAGGAAGAAAGGCTCCGAGGAGAAGGAGGGGAAGATAATGATGGTGATGACAACAGCAGGAGATTATCTTCCGCCTCATTTTCAGAGAGGACAGCGAGGTCCTCGTCGAGGAGGAATGAAAGAAGATCACCCCCTCATGTTCCTTCCACCTCAACCTTAACTTCTTCTTCTTCACCTTCCTCCTTAACTCTCCCGCCAACACTACTACCGCCACGACTTAAGAAAAGCCTTCTGCAAAAAACTTCTCCCAAAACTGTCACCTCGTCTGTGTTACTTCAACTAAAACTGCTTACCACTACTACTCCCTCACCACTACCACCACTACTGCTACTGTTAGCTGTACTGTGCATGCCAAATGTCAGTCAGTGCCTGCGCGTGCCATACCGCTATCCTCACTACCCGCTCTTTCACAAGGAGTTTCTCCAGTCAGGTAAGACCACTTTAATTTGTTGTTGTTGTTGTCGTACAGTACTTTCTTGCACGAGTGCTTCCATCTTCTTCTTCTTTTTTGGTGACCATTTTTATCGCCATCACCATCATCACCGTCATTATCACCGTCATCCGATTCTGCTGCGAATCAATCAGGCACTGTGTTTGTGTACAGGAAAACAGTGCACAGACGCTGGCGCTCCTCACCTTGATTTTGATTTGACGGTGCCAGCTCTCCAGCGAAGCGCGTGCCAGCGTATTACCACCAGCACCTTCATTTTTAAGCAGCAGCAGCCTTAGAAGAGAAAGAAGGGGGGAAAGATTGCCTGGGCTTGTTTAATTTCGATAGGGAGATAATTAATTTTATGCTTTGCGGCGCTGTACTCTCAGTGCTATGTGATGTAGTGCACTGAGCTGTTCGTTGGCGCGTTTAGCGTGTGTTGAGCCATTAGCAGTGAGCTAGCCGACGACCTGTCCTCTGCTGATTCGAGGAGAACTCTATCTGTTTGCCTGCCTGCTTTAATTCAGTTCAGTTCAGCGTTGACTTTGCTCGGTCGATTGATTGCCATTGTTATACGGCTGAATGCTGTGTACGGTGAGCTGGCCATTGTTGGCATCGTCTAAGGTGTTCATCATCTTTGGTGCTTCGCAACGCTCCGGCGCTGCCTCGTTTTCTTCTCCTTTTGCAAGCCTGGCAGTCCTTAAGAAAGTTTGAGAAAAGACAAAACCGCCATTACCATCTTTTCTGTGTTTGCTCTTGATACTCGCTGGCTGGCTGGCTGGCTGGCTGGCTGGCTGGCTGGCTGGCTGGCTGGCTGCCTCTGCCTCTTACATCAGCATATCTTCAATGTCGAGCGATGCTAAAAGTGTGTGCTGTAGGCAACACAATTCAATTGTGCGATACTGTGCTGTTGGCCTTTATAAAAGAGAGAGTCAGAGAAGTTACAGTTTATATTGAAAACTGCAACCAGTGAGGCAACCACTGAGTTTAGAGTGATTTTGAGAGCTTAGAAGAGAGGATTTCCACTTTAAAGTACTTCGGAAGCTGCTGCTGCTGAAATTAAGTCGTCCATTGTCTTTTCGTTTAGCTGCCCTTTATCAAGTAGCTGCTGCTGTAGTCATTTGTTATGTTTTCATTCTTTCTTTTTNTTAAGTCGTCCATTGTCTTTTCGTTTAGCTGCCCTTTATCAAGTAGCTGCTGCTGTAGTCATTTGTTATGTTTTCATTCTTTCTTTTTCTTTACTTATTTATTACTTCAGTCTTTTGGCGCCATTTATCAACACCGATGGCCACTGATGCTGCTGTGCCCACACGGCTGATTTACAAGCTCTAGGTTGGCGCCCAGTGAGCCCACCCTGATCAACTTTTTCCTGTGCGAGCCTTTTTCAATTTCAGTTTTGACTGCTAATTGGCTGCTTAGCGTAATTCAGCTGCAATATTTGTGTGTGTGACCTTTGGGTTTTGGCTGATGCGGAAATGGAGAATGGGCTGTACGGCACTGTCATTACCAATAGCTGAAAGAATTTTCGGAATGAAATAAAATGCCATTGCCGGTTTTTACTTAACAGTGACGACACAGCGCTTAATTGCTAAACTTGAGATGCTTCAAGAGATGCTGTGCACTGTTTGCTTGCTTAGATGCTGTTGAGCTGATAAAAAACGTCCGTTGCAGAGAAGACATGTAACGGCAAACGATGATGATGATCTTTCTTTTCTTTTCTTTCTGTCAAACATCTGTTGACACCTGTTGACTTGCTGGACTGTCTGTTGCAAGTGGGAAAATGCCAGTCGGTGAGGAGCCGCAATTCTGGGCATACTCTTTTCAGACATTTACATTGCTGTTGAGTGCAGTGTACTGCTGATGGTGTCAATATTTGAGTCAGTATTTCAGACATCTGTCTCTTTGTGCACTGGTCAGTTAGGCAGTCAGTGGGACAGACAGTGATGACTCCTTTTGGCACCTCTCTCTCTCTCTCTTTCTCTTTTCAGGTGACAAACTTTTGAGAATTTTCCACTCTTTCTTTCTCTTTTACTCTCTGTTTGGTTTTCACATGACACAGAAAGAAACAGGAGGTTGCAGTGTTTCTGACTACTTGAAATTGGTCGTGGTGGTAATGGCGAAATTCTCGCCAGTTTTCCGACTAACTGGACGAGAAGGAGGATCTTTACACTGTTTTGAGCTGAGTTTCGATAGTCTGTGATGTTTGCCGCCTGTTTCTCTTTCCCTTTTTCTCCTCTTCAGCGCGAATTAATCAGTCGGTGAACAGTTTGAGCTTGATCTTTCCGTTTTAAAACGAAAGAAAGAAAGCAAAAAGTGATGAAAGTTTGATGTTTGAGCAAAGGACTTGTCTGTGCTGTCAGGCAATATCGACAGACAAACTGCTGCTGCTGACAGGGACTGCGGAGATAGGGGAACTTGGAAGTTGAACATGTCCGCCAGTTGTGCATAGCAATGTCAGCACATGTTGAACAGCACAGCACTGCACAACACAACACTGGCTCAAAATGAATGTAAATCATAAGTGTGGTGGTGATAGCGGTGGTGATGATGGTGGGGGCAACTGTTCCGACTATGAACTACTGCTGCCTACACTCGGCCCAACTTTTTTTGCCGACAGCCGTTTAACGAGCTGTTTAATCTCATTTCACTAGACAGACAGACAATTGCCAATTGGCCAGCATCGACGACTCGGCGGCGGCGGCAATAAAACTTCAATTCACTTGTTTGTCTGCCGGTGTGTGCCGCTCTTGTTGGACAGCAGCAGCAGCAACTGTGAGGTATCAATTGCCGGGCGGATTTTTGTTGTTGTTGCTTTCTGATAGAGATTTAAATTTGAGGGCGCACAGAAAAGGGAGAAAAAGGCTGTTGAGCATTTGAAGAAGTGAAGCCGCTTAATTAGCTAAATACACATACACACACACCGACTTGCTGTGCACTATTGTTTTCCAGGGCTGCTGCTGCTGCTGCTAGTGCCCCTTAGCATCCGTGAACGATTGCCAATCACAGTGTGTGATGGCGAAAGGTTTGCTGCTGCTGCTGTCGTGTTCAGTGTCGTCTGTCCAAATGTGTCACTAATCGACGCTAATCTAGCCGTCACTGTCTTTTCCTTTCTCTCTCTTCTTCCCTTTCATTTCCTAAGCACACACACACACACAGACGACCACAAACACTAAGGCCACACTGCTTTTCCTTTTCCCCTTTGAGCAAAACTTTTGTTTGGCAAACGCTGTGCGGTTTTCGCTCTCTCTTTCTTCTGAGAGCTTCACAGTTGTAATGCTCCAGCAATGCCACGCTAATAAACAGCACCGTACAACAGCAGTTGAACAGATGCTTTGATGTTTCCCAATTTCGGATGTCACTGTCACCGGAAAAAAACAAAAGGAGAAGAAGGGATGGGGAAGCGAGGAGTTGCACCATTTCTGTACTACCACTTCCTCGTTTACTAATGTTTTTATCTTTTTATTTTCTGTTCTTCCTAGGCCCCTCAAATGACGTCACCTCGGTGGACCTGTTTCAGCGCGACAACGCGAAGGAGCACCGCACCTTCAAGTACGACATTCTCGACAAGAACAATCCCTCGCTGGTCATTCGCCGCGGCGACCCCTTCTTCATGGCCATTCAACTGCGCAGCGCCTACGATCAAGATAACAACAAAATTCGACTCGAGTTTCTCTTTGGTATGTAGTCATTCTTTGGCTGCTGAGGATGAGGATGATGGTGATCACCATCGCCACCATCATCCTCAGGTGATACCTTTTTTCCTATTTTTGAACATGCTCAATGTTTTGCTTCCAGCTGTGAGTGAGTGAGAAAGAGAGGCACTGTGTGGCACATGATTTGGCATTCACTTTGATGCTGTTCTCTGAAGATAGTAATCTTCATCTGTCAGTGATGTGATGGTGGGCCATTCCAGGGAAGATGAGAGCCGCTTCCATTGCCTCATCGTTGCTGCTGCCGTTGCTTTTAGTGATTTTAGTAAAATCTAAAAAATCCTTTTTCTCGCAGCTGAATCTTTTCTCTCTTTTTGCGCAAGGGTGCCTGATCAATTCCCTTTTTTTCCAAGAGACAGCTACAATTTGCATAAGTGTGTCCAGGCAGCATTTGTTTTGTCTTCCAGACTAGACTAGTGTTGTGGTAAAAAATAGCTACCTGAGAAGCAGCAGCAGAAGTAGAAAGCAGTCACGCATCTGCATCTGATGACTTGCTAATTTGATTATAATGAAGGCAGCAAAAGGAAAGGGGAAAGGAAAAGGGAAAAGGTTACTCACTTTGAGCAGAGCTAAGTCGTCGATCGATTTGGCACTGACAACTGACTGACTGCCTAGCCACAGACACAACTTTGTCTTTCTCCTTTGTCTTTTTCCTCCTTCATTTTCTTCTTCTCGCCATATATCATCAACGGTGATGAGCATCTTTAGGGAGAGAGAAAAGTAGCCTTGCAGGCTGTTGATCATACTTTTCACGGCTGATGTGTACGGTGTACGGTGAAGTGGTCAAGTGGTGAGGCAGACTGCGCTCAAGTGTACGACCACTGCGACCACCACGGGCACTCATTTGCACTCTCCGGCAATTATCGCCTGTTCAGTGTCAGTCTGTGTGAGAGTGAGAGTGAGTGAGTGTGAATGTGTCTCAATTGGCAGAGAGGCCAAGAGAGCCTGGCAGAGTTCAGTTCGCCGGCTCGCCGATCATCAATCGATCGAAGTGTGCACTTGTTCCGCTGCTGCTGCTGCCGCTGCCGCTGCTGTTGAATGTAATTAGCAGATGCGGACAATTAACGACTTTTACTTCAGCCTCATATTTCCATTGTCTTCTTGACCAGTGACATGTTGTGTGCATTTGTCTTTTTCCCTCTCTTCTTCTCCTAATATTTGGTCAGTTGACCTCAAAGTGATGTTGTCGGTTAGACTGTGTGCCACACTTTCTCTCTTTTTCTCAAGGTTTAATTTTTCTCGCTGTTCTCCTGTTTCCAATTTACTGGAGCGCGAACCTTCGGCGAAATTTGGTGGTGGTGGTGGCGGCACACTTGTCATCACCATCATCATCATCATCATCAACAGTTGACCATCATCAGTCTTCGTCTGGTCAGCTGCTGCTGCTGCTGCTGCCGCCATCGACTTCATCTGATCGATTGTTCCCTCCTCTTCTTTTTCTTCTTCTTCTTCTTCTGCTGCTACTCTAATCATAGCTAAGAGCACCTTATGCGGCCAAAGACAATAGTGAGCAGTGGCAGCAGCGGTAATCGATTCGATTTCGTCATCGAAGAAGAAGAAGAAATAACTGTTGTTTCTTCTTTTACTTACTCCATTCATTCATTCATTCATCTATTCACATCATGTGCACTCGAGTGCATGCATGCACACACACACACACCTGTGTGTGGCCACCATCTTTGGGGAAGAATGGCATGAAAGGCACTCGGTGCGACATTGACCTTAGCGGCGCCAGCCAGTGTCTCGGCCTATTTATTGCCGCACATTGACGAGGGCTGTCTTCTTCTTCTTGTCTGATTGACATTTGATGACCATCTCCTCAGACTCTGTCTGTCACTACTTGGCACAGACATTGACACTCTTTTCTTTTCTCCTCACTCATTTGTCGATTGTGTGCTCTTGAAACAAAAGCAAAAGGAGCACTCACCTTCTTTTAGCCTTTTCTAACTTTTTCTCCCTCTCCAATTTAATTCTAGGAACCAATCCTCAACTGGGCAAGGGCACCCTCGTCTACCTGCCGATCACCAACAGCAAGGACTTCACAAAGGACCCCAGCAAGTGGGACGCCCGGGTGCGCAACGTCGACGGCGCCCGGATCACCCTGCAGGTGCGCATTCCCGCGTCGGCCGCCGTGGGCGTCTGGCGCCTGCGCGTCTCCACCAAGCCGCAGGGCTCTCGCGACATCAAGACCTTCGAGGTGAACAACAAGATCTACCTGCTCTTCAATGCCTGGAATAATGGTAAGGAAAATATTTGTGATTTTTTTATTTTTACTGATTACCTTTTTTCTCCTCCTCCTTCTGCAGACGACACCGTGTACCTGGGCGACGAGGTGAAGCGCCAGGAGTACGTGCTCAATGACATTGGCAAGATCTACATTGGCTCGCACTCAAAGCCGAAGGGAAGGCAGTGGATTTATGGACAGGTCGGTGTTTTTTCATGTTCTATATTTCAAAAATACTTATCTTTTCCCGTATTTTCAGTTTGAAGAGTCCGTCCTGCCGGCGGTGATGTTCCTGCTGGACAAGAGTCGCCTGGACTACGCCGCCCGAGCGAACCCGGTGAAGGTGGTCCGCTCGGTGGCCGCGCTGGTCAACTCGCACGACGACAATGGCCTCCTGGTGGGCAACTGGTCGGGCAACTACCACGACGGCAATGCGCCCTGGCAGTGGACGGGCAGCGCGCCGATCTTTGAGCAGTACCTGCGCTCCAACGGCGAGCCGATCAAGTTTGGCCAGTGCTGGGTCTTTGCGGGCAGCACCACGACGATGTCCCGGGCCTTGGGCATTCCCGCGCGGACCATCACCAACTTTGTCTCTGCCCACGACACGGACGACAGTCTGACGGTGGATAAGTTTTTCACCAAGTCGGGGGAGGCGATCTCCGATGTGAACTCGGATTCCATTTGGAACTTTCACGTCTGGACGGATGTTTGGATGTCGAGGTAAGGAGAGAAGAGGTGTTTTTGAGGTTTTCTTGTTTTAATCGTTATTTGATCCTCCTAGACCCGACCTTCCTCCTGGCTACGGTGGTTGGCAGGTGATTGACGCCACGCCCCAGGAATCGAGTGACGTCAGTAATCTCTATCAGATGGGCCCAGCCTCGTTGGAGGCGATCAAGCGCGGAGAGGTGAGAAACATAGTTTTTTCTCGAATTTGTTTACATTTTCCCTATCTTTTCTTTTTTCAGGTCGGCCTGCCATTTGACGTGCCCTTTGTCTTCGCGGAGGTCAACTCGGACGTTGTGCACTGGCAGCTGGACGAGAGCAGTGAGCTGGGCTGGAAGAAGATCAAGACCAATCGATACCAGTAAGAGAGAGATTTGAGAATGGAGAACTGTTTTAAAAATTGACCAATTTTTCTCAATTCAGTGTCGGACGAAAGTTGTTCACAAAACGCGCCGGCATCGACTCGGACTACAATGGCATCTCTGACGCGGAGGACATCACCGACCTGTACAAGTTCAAGGAGGGCACTGAAGAGGAGCGAATGGCGGTGCTCAATGCCGCAAGAGGTGAGTTGTGGGGATTTGGTTGTTGACAGAATAACGGAAACTTACTCATCTTTTTCTTTCGTAGGCGCCGGCCTCTCCTTCCTCTTTGAGATTCCCGCGCCGGGGAAGGAGGACGTCGAGTTCGACCTGCTGGACATTGAGAAGGTGGTCATCGGCAATCCCTTCTTCATCCAGGTGGAGATGGCCAATCGGGTGGGCAGTCTGCGCACGGTGACGCTCTCCCTCAACGCCAACAGCTTCTACCAGACGGGCATTCTCGCCAAGAAGATTAAAAACGAACGGCACATCATTCGCCTGAAGCCGTATCAGAGTACGTAGCGGGAAATGAGATGAGATGAGACAAAATAGAAACAGTCTGCAAGAAAACATGGAGGCTGCCGCCATCTTTTGCGCGCCATTTCTACTGATACCACTTTCTAATTTCTATTTCTACTTTTCCACCACCCACTACTTCACAGAGGAAATCCTGCGCGTCCGCGTCGACCCGGAGGACTACGCCGACAAGCTGGTGGACTTCAGCCTGC